GCTACTGTTGGTTATGGACTGGAAAATTTCATTGCTGCAGACTGTGCACCACCACAGAGGTTCATCTCATCTGAAAATTCCTCCCAACCCACCCTCAACCCTGCCTATGCCACATGGCTGAGACAAGATCAACTTCTCATGTCTTGGCTTTTATCCTCATTGAGTGAAAATCTACTCATTATGATGGTTGGGAAGAACACATCTCGAGATGTGTGGTTATCCTTAGAATCCAACTTCTCAGGTTTGTCAAAAGCCAGACTTATGCATCATAAACTCCAACTTCAAACACTGAAGAAAGGATCTAGCACCATGAGAGAGTTCCTAGGCAAAGTTAAAGCTTGTTGTGATGCCTTGGGAGTTGCTGGAGAACCAGTTTCTGAGCAGAATCATATTCTCTACATCCTTGCGGGTTTAGGTAGTGAATACAACCCAGCAGTGGTTGCAGTCACCTCAAGGGTAGAGCCCTACACTTTGAATGAACTATATGCTATGCTGCTTAGCTTGGAATCCAGACTTGATATCACTACACACTCCATTGTCAACCCAGATGGCTCTATTCCCAGTGTGAATGTGGCCTCTCAAAACTCCTCAACACAGAAACCAACATCAAACTTTTCCAACTTCTCTAACACAAGAGGATATTCTCCAGCTCAAAGAGGTAGAGGCAGAAACCACAACTATAGAGGAAGAGGTGGCAGAGGCTATAGAAACACTAACAACAGACCTTCTTGTCAGCTTTGTGGCCTCAATAACCACACTGCAGAAAGGTGCTACCACATATATGATTCTTCCTACCCACCACCCACCACAATGCAAGCACAGACTGCTCAAACTCAAGCCTCTGGACTTCTCACAACCTCTCAGCCCACATCTCACAATGCTTTGGTGGTTTCTCCTGATCCTAACCCAGACTCCTTCTGGTTTGCAGACTCAGGTGCCTCTAATCATGTCACCAATGAACTCTCCAACCTCAATCTTGCCACAGAGTACCAAGGGAACAACAGGCTGCATGTTGGTAATGGCTCAGGTTTGTCTATCTCACATATTGGCAATTCACACTTCAAACACCCCTCTAATCCTTCTAGATCATTTATTCTTAAAAATCTCCTACATGTTCCTAACATAACAAAGAATCTTTTGAGTGTCTCACAGTTTGCTCATGATAACTCAGTTTATTTTGAATTCTATCCCACTCTTTGTTTTGTTAAGGATCAAGCCACACACCAGGTTCTTCTCCAAGGTTCTCTTAAAGGAGGTCTATACAGCTTTGATATCAACTGCTCAAACTCTCCTCCACCATTGCCACTGCAGTCTACCAACTATCCTTTATTTTCTGCTCATGTTGCTACTTTAAATAAGAACAATGATTTGGCCTTATGGCATTCTAGATTAGGCCATGCTGCACTTGATGTTGTTGCTAAGGTCATGAGAACATGTAATATTTCAGTTTCAGTTAATGACAAGTTTATTTGTGGTTCATGTCAACAAGCAAAAGCTCATTTTTTACCTTATGCACCCTCTGATGCTGTTTACACTTGTCCTCTTGAGCTTGTTCACACTGATGTGTGGGGCCCATCACCTATCAAATCCAAAAATGGTTCTCAATACTATGTGTGCTTTGTTGATCACTATACAAAATATACCTGGATTTACTTTCTTAAGCTAAAATCAGAAGTTAAGAGTGCTTTTCTTCATTTCAAGAATCTAGCTGAAAATCAGCTGAATCATAAGATTAAAGCAATACAAAGTGATTGGGGAGGGGAATTCAGAGCCCTCACCTCAGTTTTCTCTGAATCAAGTATTAATCACAAACTCTCCTGCCCCTATACTTCTGCCCAAAATGGAGTTGCAGAAAGGAGACATAGGACTATTGTAGAAATGGGTCTTGCCCTTCTCTATCACTCTCATGTCCCTCTCAAGTATTGGGATGATGCTTTTAGTGCTGCCATCTATGTCCTAAACAGACTACCTGTCAAATCCCTACACTTTACCTCACCTGTAGAAACTCTCTATGGCCATAAACCCAACTACTCAACCCTTAAAGTATTTGGATGCCTTTGCTATCCCAACCTCAGACCCTACAACAGACACAAACTACAACCTAGATCTCTTCCATCAACTTTCATTGGCTTCAGTTCCCAACATAAAGGCTACAAAATTCTCTTACCAACTGGAAAAGTTATTGTCACAAGGGATGTTATCTTTGATGAATCCCAGTTTCCCTTCTCTAAACCTACTACAACACAGTCAGAACTTAGCCAGTTACAATCATTTCTAAACCAACCTCCACCCATTGTGCATAGTTTTCCTTCTGCAACTCCTACTCCAAACATGTCCCCCCACATACACTCTCCCTCATCCTCCCATACTACCTCCAGGGATATGGAACAAGTGTCTCAACACACTTCCCCCTCTAGCTCATCTTCTTCCACTCAGTCCACTAATCCATCCAACTCTACTGTACCTTTGTATGTTGATTTGCCAATTGTGAGGGACACTAACACTGAGTCCAATACTTCTGCTAATGCTCCTGTTACTAAACACCATATGATAACCAGGTCAAAGACAGGTTCTCTTAAACCAAGACTCTTTGCAGCTCAAGTTGTTTAGGAAGAGCCATCAACTTACAAAGAAGCATTCAACCACCCTATTTGGAAAGCAGCTATGTTATCTGAATACCAGACTCTTATTAAAAACAACACCTGGTCTTTTGTCATTCCTCCTCCCAACAGGTCCATAATTGGGTGCAAATGGTTGTTTAAGCTTAAGAAACATGCAGATGGCAGTGTGGCAAGGCATAAAGCCAGGCTAGTTGCCAAAGGCTTCAGTCAAACAGCTGGCATTGACTTCTATGAGACCTTTAGCCCAGTTGTAAAACCAACAACAATTAGGATTGTTCTCTCTTTGGCTCTCACATATGGCTGGTGTATCAAACACTTGGATTTTAACAATGCCTTTCTCAATGGAGAACTCACAGAGGATCTTTATATGGCACAACCACCAGGTTTTGAAGACATTTCAAACCCTCATCTTGTTTGCAAGCTTCACAAGTCTATCTATGGCCTGAAACAGGCACCTAGGGCATGGTTTAACAAACTCAAGCACTCTCTCTTGTCCCTTGGTTTCCATAACTCAACTTCTGATTGCTCTCTATACATTAAACAAACCAGCTCCTCTTGCATCTGGCTTCTTGTCTATGTGGAATCACAGGGTCAAACATTGCTGCCATCTCAACTGTTATTGGAACTCTTAAGCAACAATTCTCTTTAAAGGACCTTGGTCAAGTACATCACTTTCTTGGCATTGAAATTTCACACACTACTGCTGGTCTTTCACTCTGTCAATCCAAGTACATTAAAGACATTCTCAGCAAGACAAACATGCTTGCAGCAAAACCTCTACCTACACCAATGACATCAACCTCTTCTCTTTCCAAACATCAAGGCACTCCTATGGATAACCCTACTCTATACAGAAGTGTTGTGGGGTCACTTCAATATGCATGTATTACAAGACCAGACATCTCCTTCAGTGTCAATAAGGTTTGTCAATATATGCAGAGCCCAACTGACACCCACTGGAAAGCTGTTAAAAGGATACTAAGGTATCTTGCTGGTACACTCTCTTATGGCCTACAGTACTCAAAGAACTCAGGCACTCACATTACTGGCTTCTCAGACTCGGATTGGGCTAATGACCTTGATGATAGAAGGTCCACCTCAGGTATTTGTATTTATCTTGGTAAAAATCCAGTTTCATGGTGCTCAAAGAAGCAAAATTCCATCTCCCGCTCCAGTACAGAAGCAGAGTACAGGAGCTTGGCTCAAGCTTCAGCTGAAATCACATGGATAATATCTCTCTTAAAGGAACTTAACACTCAGTGCTCTCATACTCCCATTGTCTGGGTTGACAACCTTAGCACCATCTCTCTTTCATCCAACCCAGTGCTTCATGCCCGTACTAAACACATAGAAATAGACCTGCATTTTGTGAGAGAACAGGTTGCTAAGGGCACCCTTAAAGTCCTTCATGTTCCATCTGTTCATCAGGTCGGTGATGTTTTACAAAACCTCTCACACTGCAAGCCTTCTCTCGGTTCAGGACCCTTCTTCAACTGATTCCTCTCTCCTCCTTTGGCTTGAGGGGGGATGATAGCATACGTGGAAAACAAGCTTATACAAGCTGCATGAATGAAACTCCACGTCAGCAAAAGAAGACATGCATGGAAATGGAAAGTCAACAAAAGCCAATGACATGTCACAATGAAAGAGCTGAGGGAAAAGAGAAGAAAGCACAATGAAGGCACATGCTACCAATGAGAGCAAGAGAAGCTGAGATGGAGTATAGACCGTAGGATTAGAAATATCATAATATATATATATATATGTCTCTTACCAGATTTGTAACCCTAGGGGTTTTGAACAAGAAAAAAGGCATCTATCATTTCATGATATTTATGCATGATCCATTTTGAGCTTTTAATGTCAGATGATTTCTTTTCATTTAATGATTTGATTTCTTCATTTATCAAACAATATCGAATATAGTGGAGTTGAGTTAAATTTGAGTTAAACAATCACCCCCTTAGCATTTTGACTTATTTAAAGTTCAAACTAACGGGTTGTTTTTCATCATAAAACGACGTCGTTTTGTAAGGGGTCTCACACGACGTCGTTTTGCTGTGGAAACTGGCAGATCCTCTGTTCCACTCGCATGCCGGCGATTTGCATGGAGATCGTTATTTGTGGCTGTTTCTCTTTGTGCGTCATTCAATTTGAATTACTAAGTTTATTTTTTTTTTAATTTTTCACAACAAATGGCGTAGTTGGGTATTAGGGATTCCAACAAGTTTATTTATTTTCGACATTTGCTTATTAGGATTAGTTTTGTGTGGGAGGGCCTTTTAATGTCTCTTTCCAGTTAGAGTTTTCCTTCATAGTAATGTGATCATATTTTGTCGAAAAAATCTTATTCATCGCTTTGCATATTCATAAGGGCTGATGACGAATCATGGTCCCGGGTGCTCAATTGACGGGTTGTTCTGTACTCGATATAAGCATGTGGTGCAGGAATCAAGAACTGAATTGCCAGATGTTTCAGTCAAGGTGACAGAAACTTCATATTGAAAATATTATATACCTTTCTTTCTGTATATAATCTTCACTACTTATGTTTTGCAAGAGATGTGTGAAATGCTTATCTTCTAAGCACGCACGCACCTCCCGTCCTCACTAAACGTCACGGAATTCAAAGACAAGTCCTTTCGGCCCTCCAAAATCGCCCTAACTGAATGTCCTTCATATTTTCCTATCTTTCTTCCAATCCGGAGTAAATAGACCCACTTCGGGCCACGAGCCTGTTTGTGGTGCCATCGTGGGACAACATGTTAGTCCTGAAAAGAGAGATTAAATTGCGAGGTGAGAACCTAACTACCAAAACAAAAAACAAAATGCATATCAAACAGATTGAGACATAAAGAAGCAAAAAGGCAAAAAATATACCAAAGGAAAAACATTGACACTTGGTCCAAGTAGCAAGTAAAGAATCAAATGAGGGATATCCCCCCAAACATAAGTCAATTTGTAACTAACGCAAACACTAGGGCATTGGTAGTTTGTTAAAAAAAAAATCAAAATCCATATGCAATTAGACTAAACAGTTACCATGAATTCCAGTATCCTATAAAAAATTTCTCCACACCGCGCTTGAGTATCGGATTGTAATATGAGAATAGCGCAATTGGACTGGACAACTGAGGAATTACCTGTGAAAACACAAAACAATTGATGCTATAGTAACAATTATAACCTACAGATTATGCCCAAAAAAAGAAATGACTATGAACTTACTTCCTTCAGGGGGCGTTTACTTTGGGGGATTGGGATAGGATAAGGGAAATAATCCCGGCTATCTCACGTTTACTTCGCGGGAGTGGGATAGGCTTAATCCGACCTGGCGTCCATGTGGCACGCGCTAATCGGCGAAATTCGGACAGAAAAATCCCGCGACCCACCTGTGACAATTTAATCCCATCTTTATCATACCTATTTTACCCTCTGATTTTTGTGTAAACTGACCAAAATACCCCTTATTTTCACTGAAATAACAATTTTATTACAAATAAATAGGAAAAGTGGGGCATTTGCCCTAGCTGCAGAAAGAACCTTGCGACGCCATTGTTCATCGTAGATTGAAGCTTCTGAACCGAAAGGTGAGTTCCTCTGTTGTTACTACTTTCATTTTCATTTTCGGTTTCATTCAATTTGTCGCAAAATTCGAAGAACACAATTTTGTTGACGAGCAATTTGTCCTATGTTCTTCAGAAACGAAGATTCGCAAATAAGCCCTATCTTCGGATTCTCCGTCGCATCTACAGGTTAGCTCCAGACTCGGCCTTTTACCTTTTCAATTTCGATTTACACTTCGTCCCTCGATTTGGGAAGTAAATCTTCCGGCGGAAGAAGTTCCACCTGAGCTCCCTGAGCCAGCGCTTGGGATCAATTTTGCCAGGGATGGGATGAACAGAAGGGATTGGCTCTCGCTAATTGCTGTCCACAGTGATTGTTGGTTGCTCTTTGTGGCATTTTATCTTGGGGCCAGGTTGAACCGCAATGAAAGGTATAAAATTATTTATTTGGTATTGTTTCTGATGAAGGTATTTTCTTTGTGTGTGCGTTGACAAGCTATTTCTTCTTATTTTCCTTGCATGTCCTGTGACCTGGTTTAAAATATCTTGTGGTTATTGTGCAACAGAAATACGTTAAGCTAGGACTGTTATCATGCCCAACTTATAACTGATATGCATATTTCACAAGTCATCCTGTATCGAATTTCACTTGTTTACAGAAGTTGCAAATCTTTTGAGTAAATTAACAATATTTGTTGTTTCACGGCGATGAGTGTTCTTTTGCTGTCAATTACTTGGTGGTGTTTCTTTTTTTATATCTTGTTTCTGTTTCTTATGCATTTCAGTTTTGGTGCAAGCTATTTGTTGTTTCATTCAATGGAGAAATATAGGGTGCTAGCATATTATTTTACTGCGTCTTGCCCTGAGAAAAAATTGTTTATTCTGCAGCACAATTTTTTGTGTATGTGTACAACACTTGGTTTTTCTGTTTCCCTTCCCCAAACCCTTTTATTTGCCAGTTCATCAGACATGTGAAGTGTTGGCATAGAATTCTACACTTGATATGGTCATCATTAATGGGCATCATTTGGTATTTACTATGTTGTTCATTGATACTGACTCTACCTTCTTTGATCAAAATGTATAGTTTAATAATAGGTGTGTAATATTTGGTCTGAGAAAGAGGCCTGCATATGACTTGGATGTGAATTAGAAGCTAGTAAATATGTTTAATTTGATAGGAAACAGTTACCCACTGCTTTCTGCAGTTAACGTTAACCATCTGTTCATACACTTTATTTGCATTTGGGAGAATTTGTATGATTGAAGGAAACAGCGTTTTTGTATAATTGTTAACAAGACCATACTATGTATAGTTGAACAAAAAGCAACATTTTTTGTATAATTGTTTACAAAATGGCTTTATGGCTCGGGTTCGATATGATATGTTGTTGACCATACTACAAGAAGCGGCTTTTCAGCATGATGAATGAGCTGCCAACTGTTTTTGAAGTGGTAACAGAAAGGAAGCCTGTTAAAGACAAGCCAAACACTGATAGTGGCAGCAAATCTCGCAACAGCACAAAGGTAAATTTGTATGCGATGATTTGTTATTACGGCAGCAAGGGTTACAAATCGTGGCAAAAAAACATTTGTAATCCTGTTGGTTTAATGTTATAACAACTTTAGTCCCAAGATTCCAACTTTTTGCCTTAAATTGCTAATAAAAAATGTGGGAAATTGGGAATTTGTTGAAATTCAGTCCTCAAAGGACTGTAATTGCAGCAAAAATATTAATTCACTTGACAAAAAAGCGAGATGCTGGAACCATGGGACAGAATTTGCTATGGCTTAATCCAGCAGGACTAAAAATGCAATTTCGCCCTAAATCATAAGAGAGCTATATTTCAAAATAATAAAAACCTTCTTTTTTTTCCTTTACGAATCATCGAACTATTGTTGTTTTGGGGCTTTGTCTAACTGATCAAGATCCATCACATATCCGGAAATAACTAATCGACCTCATATTTGCAAAGGTCAAACGATGGCCAAGTCAAAAGCAATCCGAAGCATGCAGAGGAAAGTTATGAAGAAGAAAATGAACACAGTGAGACATTGTGTGGCAGCTGTGGGGGGAATTACAATGCAGACGAGTTCTGGATAGGATGTGACATATGTGAGAGGTGATATCACGACAAGTGCGTGAAAATAACGCCAGCTAAAGCCGAGAGCATTAAGCAGTACAAGTGCCCTTCTTGCACGAAACGAGGCAGGCAGTAAGCAGCGGCTAAAAGAAGATCTTACTCGACTGAGAATCAGAATTTTCGGTGCCTGACCAAAAATGTAGTATAACAGTATTGTTTTTTTCTTTCTTTTTCCTTTTTTTTTTGTGTGTGTTCTTTGTTCTCCGAGTACTCTGCACGTCTCGGTTTTTGATTCTGCACTGGTGGTGGTGAAAGCCTAATCCTGTTCTGTAGTTGGTTTCGGTTATAATTTATATGTGCCCTTTCATGTAGAAGACTTTCGATGGAATCATATGCCTTTTTCATGCTCTGTTGTTGTATACTTCGTATCAGTTATATTAAAGAGGTTGATATTTATTTAATTTGATGCCTAACTTGAGATTTTGAGTTCTTCACAAAATCTCTTATTTTTTCTGTGTTGTATGAATTATATTAAGGAGGTTGATATTATTTAAATCGATGCCAAATTTGAGATTCCAAAGCCAAGATAATT